TCAGTCCAGGATGCACTTTTTTATTTTTAAATTAAACTGGAGATTTCCAAAAGCCTAAATACTTTGTATAGTTTCTCCTCTAGTTTCTAATCAAGTTCCTTTTGTCTACATGTTGTACTTTGCCCCTCTCAGCAAAAACATTTAATAACTTGTACTGTATCCTAAAACTTTACCTGCAAAATATTTTATGTGAAATTGGTGATATTACCAGAATTTGTTTCAGCAGATTCCCAATTAGGAACCATTTGTCCTGATTTAAAAAAACAGGTCATGTACTGTTTTCTTCACCTGTGAAAGAGTTGTTCTCGTTATACCAGCATGTATACCTGTGTGGTATTAAATTCCCACCCCTGGGCTGATCAGAGCAAGGCTCCTTAAACCTGGCCATTTCTGATCTAGTCCATTCAATTTGTCTTTAGCCAGCTGGCAAGCCGACAGGTTTTAACTTTTCGTTGTGTTTTTAATTATTACAGCTTTTTAGAAATTACATCATGATCTCGTTTTCCATTTTGCAGGCCACATTCAAAACTGATCTTATCGGCACTGAAGTAATATCAGAATTTTACATGGGTCATGAAGAGACAAAAGTGGTGAGTTGTTCTCACATAATCCTTAGTACATTAGGCAATAGAGTTGTGTTGTCCCTCAGAACTACATTTAAAGTGTGTGTACAGTATTGATGTATTTTAAAAGTTAGCTTTCAACCGCTATGTAAGTATATAATTTAAATTAACTTTGTGAATAAATAAAAAACAATGGCATCACAAGAATTTTAGTTGAAGATGATTACTTTTTAGTCTACTATATAAATTACGTATACTGTACATTTAATTTTCCCATCAAGGAGTCACAGTCCCATAGTGTTTACTGAGTATACTCAAAAAGCGCTTGGTTTGGAATTGCCAGAAAAAGTTTTTAATTTTTTTAAACTAGTGAAAATGGCGCTGTAGCTCAACTGCATTCTGTATATGTGACTGTGTAAATTCTATAAATAATTGCAAATATTGGTAACTGATATTTACAAATAATTGTGCAACCTACAATGTTTCTTTTAGGGTTCACTGATTTTTTATTTTTGCAATTGGAAAAAAATAGCCTACTTTTATCCTGAAAATCTGACTGTGCTTTCTGTAAAACTTTAATGTTGGTTTTGATGTAAACTTTTTCCCACAGGCACGCTTGAAACTCTTTCCTCATCAAACAGGAGAGCTTCATATTCTTGGAGTGGTGTACAATTTGGGTACAGTCCCAGCTGCAGATGGGACAGACGTTTTTTCTGGGGTCCAAATGGAAGGTGAGTTTCAGTACAACACAAAATTCAGAGGTATGACCAAAGCTTGGTAGCGAAAGCAAGGCTTTATATTCAGTTAGAACACGTGCGCTTTTAAATCCAGTAGTCTAAATGCTTTACAAACATTTCCAGACCTTTTTTTCTGCTTCATTGCCTAACATGGTAAATGAAAAAACTTAAGACTCCTTGACATGGTGTGTTGTAGTTTTTAAACAGGAAATTGGTTCATGATTACCTTATCTACAGAGGCTTGATCAAAATAAAAAATAGCGTACTCAGTTTCAACTTACTCGCATCTCTCAGATATAAAGTATGATTTAAATATATAAAATCTTAAAAAGGTAAGTTAGTTTGTTTACTTTCAAAATACAGTTAAAATTAAGAACATAACTAATTGATTGATGTTTTGAGGTTTGAATATTCTTCTTCTCCTTAGAATAAATAATGTAAATAATGTTTCTTGAATTCTTTAGATTTGGTAGAGCTGATGAAATCTGTTAAGAAGTCCTCTTACGTCACTTCTATTTAATGCTGGGGAGCTTCTCCTCAAAATATTGTTCAACAGCCCATCAACACCGCTTCAGGTCTTAAGCATAAAGCATAAAGCCCTGTCACTGGTTCCCATTAGGTGCTTTGTTGTTGCAGTTTTCCAGTGAAGGTTCCATCCGCATTTTCCTCCACAGGCAATCTCGGCAGCGCTGGAATGTCGGTTCGGGGCCAGCAGGCCCTAGAGATCCAGGGGCCCCGCCTGAACAGCACTAAGGAAGAGAAGACGTCCGTCAAGCACGGCCCGGACCGGCGGCTTGACCCCATCGTCGCCCCGCCGATGCCGCTGCTCGAGGTACCGTTCCTTATCCGCTTCGGGGCCTGGCTCTGGCCTCAGGGGCATCTGAAGGGAACTGAGTCTCTTCAGTCTTGACAGATGCGAATTCGAGATGTCAGGAGATGTGATTCGAGCATAAGTACTGCGTTTGCACTCTCAGCTTTCTGCAGTCAACAGAATGAATTGCGCCACCGTAACATACTATACTGTTTGGGAATTGAGATGATAAACACCACCGTGCCAATGGCTGGAACATAACTTATGATCAAGTATTTTAAATTGTAAGATAAAAAAAAAAGTAAAAATAGAACGATAAATTATCTACAGTTTTTCAAAAATGAAGATGCTTATTTGCTGTCATTGTAGTTTTGCACAAGTATTCAAAACTTTTGTTTGTTTTTTGTTTTTGCAGGTGTTCTTCATTAATTTTCCTACCGGACTGCTCTGTGGGGAGATCAGGAAAGCGTATGTGGAATTTGTGAATGTAAGCAAGGTTCCCCTCACAGGATTAAAGGTGGTTTCTAAGCATCCGGAGTTCTTCACATTTGGAAGCCATACTGCATCGCTGACACCGCTGAGCCCTACGGCGTCTGAAAACTGTAGTGCTTACAAGACCGTAGTCACCGGTTCTCCTTTGGGCACGGCAGTGACTTCGCTTGTGTCGCCGGCGGACTTCGGAGTCGGGTGCGAAAACCCCTGTCTGGGGGTGGTTGATATACCACTGCCGGATTCTGTGCTTTTGCCAGGAAACTCTATTCAGCTGCCCATGTGGCTGCGAGGACCCGATAAAGAGGGCGTCCATGAAATTAACTTCTTATTCTATTACGAAAGCACAGAGAAGACCTCAAAGCTGAGGTAAGTGAAAACACCAAAAGCTAAGGCATTGATCAACTATAAATGTCAGGGGGATGTGTTGGATGCAAGTGTTAGAGTCTTGTAATTTGGTCTCAGTCAAGACTTGCAGATGATTTTTAATGTAAATCTGAGTCAAGTGTGACAGATCTCTCCTGACTTGTGCAGTAACTCTAGTGTCTAATTGCTGTTCTAGTGTATATTTAAGGCTGTATTTTTTTGGGCTTCATGATCTCAGAATTATATTGGAATAACATATAAAATTATATAAATGGGTGTCTTCTTTTTGCTTGTTCTTGTCATACACACTTTAATGACTTGCTTGTGAAAACAAACAATAGACTACAATGAGAGCTTTTGGGATTTTGGGGGATTTAAGTGGTTAGTCCCATCATGGTCTGAACGATACCAAGACACTTTATTGCATGTAATACTAGCTCTAATTTGTAGACTTGTTTAGATGTAGGTTCTTGTTCAACCTCTGAAAGAATCTGAGTTCTTGATTGGCAACTGCAGTCAGTTCACAAGATTTGGATGGAGTTTTGGCTTGCATCAAAATTCGCTCATCTCAAAGTTGCTTGCCTTAAAAAAAATCATGTTTATGTAACAGAAGCTAATGTATCCAAAGCTGCAAATATACATTTATAAAAAAGGCCAAAGGAATAAAAACTTTTTATCATGTTAATACGTCCGTCCATACATGCTTTCGATTTTTAACATTTTTGTCAGCTCAAGAAATGACACTGCGTAGGAGTATTCTGCTGTATTATTCTTAAGTTATATATGGACGTTGATGTAAGCATACAGTGCCACGAAAATTCAGTATGGAAATTATAATTTTATGCCATGATACCCTTATTTCATTGAAATCGAATGAATCCAAATTCAATGAGATGTAATTGGGTATGAATTAGAAAAACAAATCATTAAGAATAAGTGTATTAAGTGACTGGTGTCCCATCCAGAATGTATCCTGCCTTGTGCCCGTTGCTTGCTGGGATAGGCTCTGGCTGCCTTGTGATCCTGAATTCGATGAAGTGATTAGAAAATTGATGAATGTATTAGGTGAACCCCTAGTTTTCTTTGTGCAATAAAGGGAGTAATTAGAATAAGTTAATTAGATAGTCAAAGTAAACAAGGTGTTTGGGCAGCCCTGTCTTATTTAAAGGATTGAAACTCTGAATTTGGTCTGCACCATACAGTTGAGTAGAAACACATCGTACCACAATCAAAAGAGATTTCAGGGGACTTCAGAAAAAGAGTAGATGATGCTCATCAGATTGAGAGGGCTGCAAAACTATTTCTAAACATCTTAGGCTCCACCCATCCACTAAAATCGTCCTGCCACGTTTTCTCTAAGAGAACCTAATAAGTCATCCAGAAAATGACAAACAACACCAGAGTTATCTCTAAGGATCTGCAGGCTGCAGATCCTTAACCAGTGCTCCCTAAATAGCACATTAATGCCTCCCTCTTTTAATTTAAACAAAGATCACCTGGGCGATCCACAACAGTACTGGATGAATAGTCTCTAGAGAGAGGCAAGTAGAAAGTTGTGGCCCCAACGAGAAACATTGTGTATGGCAAAAACCAAATCCTGTCTTCTATTATAAGAACCTCCTCCTGACCATCAAGGACCGTGGTGATAGTATCATGGTTTGGGCTGCTTAGCTGCTTCAGGACTGTACAGTATTGGCAAAGCTTTTGAGGAGAGTCATCTCCAAAGGAGTCAGGTCATCTGTTCATTGGCCGAAACTCAGGAGAAAAGGTCATGCAGTCATGATGACTGCAGACCATGATCCTAAATATACAAGCAGTTCTACAACAGTATAGCTGAAGAAGAAATTTGTGACTGTCCAAGTCAGAGTCAGAACTTACACTGACAAGAAGCGGTTCTGAATGGAGACAGGGGCCACAAGTCCTGCTGTTAGAGGCAGCTAGGAAATGTCTAGTTTAAGTGATTGTTACTCATGTCAAGGAATTATTGAACTGCAATTCTGTTATTGAATCAAATGGTTCACATATTAATTCTATTGAGGGTATTTGCTTTTAAATATTGTGTTCATCAAATCATCCAGTTATATCTTATGTCTTCGCCTTACGTCTTTAATAGTGTTACCTTCATCTTTTATTAAGATCTTCATGACATCCTTCACATATAGGTATGTTTTAAGTTTAATATACTCAAGAATACAAACCAACCAAGGGGTTTCATAAATCTCAGACCATAATATACATGCAAACGAAAATTGAATTCATCCCATACATAGAAACGTATTGATTCAGTATACAGTAATAAAAATCTGCTCTGACTACATAAATATAATGATTTTGAAGTAGCAAGGGACTTGGAAGGGTTTAATTGAAGTAAAAGAGATTTATCTTAACTATTAAGTTGTTATAGATTAAAAAAAAAGTTTTACTGTATGTGAAATTTATTTTAAATGATTCTTCCCAATGTGGAACTTTCTCTACAGCCATAGGGTCTTGCGCCACACGGCAGTGATCTGTACAAGCCGGTCTTTAAGTGTGAGGGCAACAGTGTGCCGAAGCAATACCTTCCAGGATGAGGAAGATGGAAGAAATGGCAACATGCTTGTTTTTGTTGATGTGGAAAATGTAAACACTGTGAGTTTACTTAGTTCTGTTTTCTTCTGGCAAGTTATTGATCTTGGGGTGGCACAGTGGAGCAGTGGTTAGCATTTCCTTGGGATCAATTAATGGGGTGCTGTCTGCGTGGAGTTTGTATGTTCTCCTCATAACCTCTTGGGTTTCGTCCCACAGTCCCAAATACATAATAGTAGGTGAATAAGCACTGGGGAACATGGACCCTGGAGTGAGAGTGTCTGTGTGCCCTATAATGGACCTGCCTCCTGTCCTGCCTGGTGCCCATTGCTTGCTGGGATAGGCTCCGGCTCCCCCTGAACTATAATGGGAAGAAGCGGTTAGATAATGAATGGATGGAAGATATTGATCTTAATGTCCATTAGTACGCATTTTGTGTGTTTTCTTACAGTTTCCTTTGTGTATGTTGCTTTAGCGCCTAATTAACACACAACACATGGTGTGTGATTTTAGTGAATTAATCTTATAGATTCCTGTGCCTTTGAATCTGAGCTAATCTTTCTTTACCCAATTTTGATGCCAGCTGAATATGCACATTTCTTTTCAGAATGAAGCAGGCGTACGAGAGTTTCACGTCGTGCAGGTTTCCAGCAGCAGTAAACAATGGAGGCTACAGAAACGTATTAACCCTTCTGAAGACAAAGGTCAGTTGTCCATTTCCCAATTCAGCTGCAATGTTTTTATATTGAGAACTGCACATATTGTACTTTTAGGTTCCAGGTATGCAGTTAATTTTACATGTTTTGAACTGTGCACAACAGGCTTAACTTTCTCATCATCTGGGGAGGGAGCTTTAGGAACATTCCTAGTTCTTTTAACAAGGCTAACACATCTATTTACAAAGGGGACCACTTAACAAAAGGGCTTTTTTCCCCACCCATTGGTTTGAGCTCTGACAATGTTGCAGTGTAAGATATGAAGTCTTCGCCATTGTAAACCACAATTAGACACATTGGTGCAGTTTCCTCTTTGTGTTTCAGTGTTCATTCTGAAGATGTCTGCTGGTTTGACCTTTTCAGATTTGAAATACTTGTATTGGCTTCCTTCCTAGTCTTCTCTCTTCAAGACTACAAAGGTTTGGTTCCTTTAGCTGGTCAGTGTAGGACAGTCCTTTAAGCTCCGGAATGTCAGGTTGCTCTTCTCTGGACTGATTCCAGCAATATAGTTTCTATAACACGGTAGCTAAAATTGAACGCAATATTCTAAATTTATTAATGCCTTATATATTCTTAGCCTAACATCCCACAATTTATGTTCTTTGATTTTGAATTTTTATCTTGCCTTTTTTTATGCCAATACGCATTTTCTAGAGCAGGGGGTGCTCAGTTTGGGTCCTCAAGGGCTGCTGTCCAGCACGTTTTTTAGTCCTCTCCTAGCTTCGGAAGAACAAGGACAGGTTTCAGCTTCTTCAGTTAAGCAAATAGTGAGTTCAAGTCATATAATTAAGAGCTCACAATACAAAGGAAAACCAGAATTGTTCTGTCCCTCTGGCCTATACGTATGTAACCCTTTTTACTACCTGCATGAAAAACACAGCATTCAATGTCATGTGCCAGGTGTTTTCTCAGTCTTGAATTTTGTCTTTTGAAAATTAATTTAGTGCTTCTGGTCTAGGCTAATCCTCTTTATTTGTTGTCGCCTGCAAGTTTGACCAGTCTGGTAACTACATTCAAGAACACGGATATAATTGGGTCAAGCAGTATTCGTTGTACAGATCCCTGTGGAACTCCACTAGTTACATTACCCCCATTTTGAGAATTTACACCCAAGCTGTGCTCTAATTGCCTTGACTTTTCCTGGTTGTGGGATAATAAGTGGTATTTTTTAGAAAGCTTTGGAAATGTGTGGCTAGCTTCTTTTAGTTTCTCCATGTTGTGATTTCTGATAATTTCAGTTGCATGCCTTCCTGAATATTGGCTTTGCTGGTTCTTAAGTCTCTTGGAGCTCTTTGAACTCCTTTAGTTCCTTCATTTTTGTAGCCACTTACCACACATGTAGTCTTGCTGTTGGAGTTCCTAGATGTCACACACCTTAAAAATTTAAAAAGTTAAAAAAATAGTGGAGTATTGAATGTAATGTATATTAGAGGTTGTTGTTTTTTTTTCATACAGGAAACAGGTATACACTCTTAATAGATATTTTGGCTGCTGACTATAGAGTTTATTTAATGTACTTCATAATTATAGAAATGAATATGTGATTGTGTAGACGCCCTATTCCCAGTCTGCCCTTTCTTCAGGAATAGGCATTGACAATTCTATTAAATCCCATCTGGCATTTAATGAGCTCCCCAGAGTGTATTAGACATGATAGCACTGAAACTGCAGTAATTGTGTTAAAGATTTTCTTACAGTCTTCTGATATAATAGTCTTCTTTTTTGGGATTTCAGTGCAACCTTTGATACTGTCAGTCACCACATCCAACTGGATTGCACGGAAATTGTGGTTTAAAATGCAATGATGAGTGTTCCAGGGTCTATGCTAGGTACTTTATTTGTAATATTTGCATGTTGCCTCTTGTTTAGATCATTTGTATTCCCTGCTATGCTGAAGACCCACAGATTTATTTGTATACCAAATACATGAAAACTCTGGTGTTACTTTTATTTGTTATCATTACAGGTGCATATATGGAATGTCACAAGGGTGTATTTCTTCCACCTACATAACACTGCTCAGTGTAACCCCTTGCTCTTCCTCTCTGATCTTAAAATACATACCTTAATCAAGATTAGCCCACTGTATCTTCTTACTTGCCGGGATATCTTGAAAAGTATTAAATAGGTCTCTGTGGGTTCTAAATAAACTTGCCCTGTCCACTGCAAATTAGCAGTAATATATTGTGTGTTGAATGTATGCTTCTCCTGATTATATGAAAGGCAAAGAATGGTCTAGATCCAGATTATTATTATTATTATTATTATTATTATTATTATTATTATTATTATTATAAGGCCTTTTTTATATAAATATGATTTGGCTCTTAATTTGAAATCAGCTGTTTCACACAATGAGTGATAGAGATTTTAACATTTGTAACTAGTGGAGTGCATTGCTCTAATCCATTAGACACTCTTATGACTTACTTTTTGTAAAGACCTGTACACTAAAGCTTTTAATAATTTATTTTTGCTTTTTATTTTCTCATGAATTTAGCTGTGCTGTTTTCATTTTGCTTCAGTGATATGTTATTTTACCTGTTTCATGAAATGTTAATACATCAAATGTAATAAACAATCGTCTTTGTTAAATGGTGGGAAAATGAAAATAAGAATGGAATATGATATTCTACATTGCTTTTTCTGGCATTTATTACTATTTGCAGTGATAAATGGCCTCTATGGTTTGATTGACCACAGGAGCTTCCAGACTCTCTTTCCTCGATCTAGTGAATAGTCTTCTTTATTGGGTGAAACATGTATTTTTGTTTACGAGTTGCAGGCTTTTGCATTTGTTTCTGGTGACTGCACTGTCTGTTGTAAACAACTGGGTCAGTAGGCTTCAAGGAATTTGCAAGTCACACACTGGAAAATATACTTTTGATGTTCTTTGATTATCAAAACATGTACATTCGTTTCACCAATTTGCTTTTTAAAAATCAGTCTGCTCTGATATTCCCATTTAGAGTTGTAGACCAGAAGTATTCAAGTTTCTTCAAAGGCTGAATTTATTTAGATCTCTTTGCTTTCTATATTTTTAATGAGAAGAAACTATATATCTGCAGATCGTACATTCTTTTAACTGGGTATATCTAAACACAAGAAAATGCTCAGAGGAAATGATCAACAGCAAACACAAAAACTAAAGTATTTAAGTTAATGAAAATCATGCTTCATGAATGTAATACACTTCTTGTTTCTGCAGACGCAAAACTTACAAGCAGAGAAAGAGGAAAATTGTGCTTCAGAGCATCAAAATGCAAAAGCCAAGAAGGTGGGTTACTTACAGTATATACAGTAAAGTTATCTTTTTTTAAGTTTGTTATTGTTTCTGTATTTAACATTTTTTTTCTTCTCCACAGCTACCTCAAGTGCATTAGAGAAGTATACATTTGCCGACATAAATCTAGGAAATGAACAGGTGAAATTTTATTTTTTTTGTGCAAATTGTTACAAATAACAGGATCAGAAAATGAACTGTGCATTTGAAAAATATTGAGGCACACACGTTCATGTTTTCCAATTTAGCTGGTACTGGAGTAATGAATTAGTCATACTTGGACGAGGCAAATACTTAAGAATAATTAACACAGAAGCATAACACAATGTTACATGATAACACATACCATATACAGTAATCTATGCATTCCAGAGGCCTGTGTCCCCTTGGCCTTTATGGATCATGGCCTCCTAAGTATCCCCATCTATCAATTAGCTTTATTACTCTGTCCTTCTCCCCACTGATAGCTGGTGTGTGGTGAGTGTACTGGTGCACTTTGGCTGCCTGTGCACCACCCGGGTGGGTATTGCACATTGGTTGTGGTGGAGGGGAGTCCCCATTACCTGTAAAACACTTTGGGTGGAGTGTAAGTTATGTTCTATAGACCTTGAAAAGCTGAATTCTGTCCTTCTGGAAACACTGCAAAATAGCTTCTTGCATCCTAAGAAAATGGACCCTAAACAGAACTAAGTCTTCTGTCCTATATTATGGACGCTCAAAATCGGATCGGAATCTATCTCCCTATTCTAATATGCATCACCAATCTAGGACAGAACTTTTTAGTCTGAGGCTTCCATAATATATAGGAGGTAATAATTTGCTAAAATAAAACAGCAGGTTAACTATAATAATATTCAGAGTACCTACGCAGAATCTGGTCTCCAAGACTGATCAGAAGAGAGTGATGGTTCCGTCTTTTCTGTCTCTTCTCCACTTTCTCTCTGTCTTCCTTACCTCTTTTCTGTCCTTTGCCTCTGCCTTGGTAATTAGGGATTTACCATTAATTTACTTAACCAGAGTACATAATCAGAAACTGTCTAAAGCCTGTCTACAATTGGGGAAAACCTAAAAACTATACACCTTTATATGAATGCTTTGTGCTTGCAGAGTTTTGTGTTATGTTTTATGCTTTTTGAGTAAGGCCATGAGTAGTGTAATCATGATGTGAACTGCAAACTGATTTTGCCACACACCCCCAGTGTCACAATATTCTCACATCCTTTTACTAAGGCAAACTGATAAATAAGTGATTTTCTTTATGGTGGACAAAGATTATATCCTTCCCAATCAAAACACTCTCTTTATAATTATTCAAAACTAAGAGGTGTGATACACTCAATACACAGTTTTTTGTGTTTCTAGGTTTATTATGCTTGTTATACTGTATATTTATAATTATGTTTGTTAAGCAAGCAGTTATTTTTCCCATCTGATGTACTGCCTGTCTTTTCTTTGTCTTTTAATAGATAGTCAGTGCTACCACTCCTTGTGCAGATTTCTTCTTTCGAAGCTGCCTAACTAGAGAGCCAAAGAAGACTGCACCTGCTGCTCATAACAGAGGTGTTCCTTCAGGATTGCCAAAAGACGATATAACAAGGGTGGTGAGAAAGTGCACTGAAGTGGATCTGAATATCATCGTGTTGTGGAAGGTATGCTTTTACGTGAAGCATTGATTAATGAATTAATGAACTGAACTGGTGTGTATTTTTTAGATTTGCACTATAGAAGTATATTTACACTATTGGGGTCTAAATCTACCGGTTAAATGGGCTTTATTTAACTGGAGCTTGCACAAAACTCACATCTCTAATTTCCTGTAGTTGTAGTGTGTGAAGAAATGGAGCAGCGAGTGAGTTGCACTATGAGATCTCTGTCATCAAGTAGGAGAGCTTTGGGTCTTTTCTTTCCTCTGATACCGAATAAATGTAGGGCTCTCAAACGAAGTCCTGGAAGAAATTTAATTATGTTGGAAAACAATGCTTGGTGCTCAGGGACACATCAGGATTATTAGAGTGATGTTCTTATCACCCCGCTGTATGGTTCTATATTAAATGAGGCAGCATTCACTTGCAACCAAATTGATGCTTCCTGTAGCTAAAAGACTGCAAAACAGTTGAGCAGTTGAGATCTTCCATTTTGCTCTTTTCTTTAAAATCAGTGTTTATCCTATAAAGAACGGGGAGATCAGCATTTTCCAGTTTTCCCCATCATTGCATTGTTCTTAATATTCAGATGATGGGTCATTTTAGGCATCGTATGAGAGTAACTGGATTGGGACTTTGCAGGACCTGTGAAGGAGACTTCTGGTCCAGTATAATATAGATAATTACTGTATTATTTTATTATATTATTATAGTCTTATTTTATAATTAAAATGTAATAGCTTTTGTATTTTGGGAGTTCTCCCCAGTGTTTTACTTGTATTCTAAAACTTTTTTAATTGTAAAACATTTTTGATAGTTTAGTATTGCTCTTCTTGGCATTGGAAAAAACAAAGTTATGAAATTAATTTACTTCAGGAGTGTTTTTTTGGTGCTTAACAGTTAATAACCATCATCAGAAACCCTAGTTCTGCTGTACTTTCTGATAAATGTGTAGCATTGAGTGAGCTTGTCAACAGCAGGGGAAATGAAGTTTATCTCCCATTCTCAATGAAGCCTATTCCAGTAAAAGCACTCAGCAGAGCTCTGTATTCGGGTCTATTCTGTTGAACACCACCTTGCAGCACTCTGATGTACCTTTGAAAAACTATTTTATATGACAATTTTACTTCCCTTTACCAGGTGGTGGTAATGGCAGTTTACTGTCTTTTAGTGATTGAGGTCAAGTGTTCTTTGTATTGTTGAACTTTGCTGTTCAGACTTTTAACATGAATCATGATTTGACCTACTGATCTTATTTCACAGGCATACGTGATTGAAGACAACAAGCAGTTCATTTTGGAAGGTCAGCTCCATGTGGCTCTTCAGACCATTGGGAAGGAAGCATGTTCTTTATCACAGAAACAGGTACATTTTTATTAACTTCTTATATTTGGCTTTGGCACTTCTTCAGCGTTGGGGAATTTTTTCCTGTTTTTCCATTCTGCTTGAAGGTTTGCTCACTATTTGCAAGTAGAGAACAATCATTGATTCACAGTGTGGTCATGCATTTTGAACTGTGATGAAATTACATTGGCTAATTGTCTGGTTTTAATGTAAAGAAAAAAATTCCTTTGTGCAACCTTCATGTTTGTCCATGACTACTGCCATCCTAAGGTTAACTGCACTGTATGCATGCCATTAGATTATATTTTTCTCTGTGTAGCCTAGTTAAAAACCTCTTAAGATCATTTAAAAGTTGTGGATAACTTTTAAGTATTCAAAAAATTAAAGTAGTCTGTACTGCATGTATGAAAGCTTAGATTGAATGTCCTTTCTGATGTTCAGAGCCTGAATTATTCAACAGAATACTTTAGCTTTCAATATCTGATTAGGAAATAACTAGTTTGGCTTTTGTTGTGACTTTTTTTTCGGTGAGTTTAAACAATTATACTAAAAGCTTACTTTCTTCTTTAAAGGATAAGAAGTAGTGAAATAATGATTGACAGTAATGAGGTTATATTAATGATAGAATGCACCTTATTGCTTGATGCATGCCAGCTTATAGTCTGTTCTGTGGTCGGCTGCAAAGGAAGGTTACTTAGCAAGCTAAATTACAGATAATTAACATAGCTATGTATGGAGCTGTACGTAAATGTTAGCATCAAGGAAGCAGGTGACGACAAAAACAGAGCTGAATCTTCAACAGACCTGAATGAAGAAAATATTATTGAAATGTTCAATTTACTAAAATAATTCTAACTGGAATTTTAAATGCACTTTATAGTAAGGGTGGTATTAGCAAGTGCTCAGAAAGCCATCATCAAAGGTAACTCCTGCAATTTTACATCATGAATCATTTTGCCTGTATAGGAGTGAACTTGCTACTTTTTTTAATTCCTCCACCTTCACATTAAAGACATCAATGCCTTGAAGTCTACTGTAATCATTTGAAAATAATTTGTGAGTGATCTTCTCTCTTCAGTAAAAAAATAAATACAGAATGTGCTTAAATTTAATATTATTGTTGGGACAACTGTGCATTATTTTCAGAAGAGAAACTTTGAAAAAAACAATTTTGTGGTGTAACAGGGGATGCTTACTGCTATAAGGAAAATAGCTTTCCAATATAGATCTATAGCTTTTTCTCTGTGCTGAGGTTCTAGGTGAATGAGAGAGTGCAGCTGTGAATAGAACCAAAATCACTACGGCATGTCATTGCATTCATGTGCCTTTGGCAGAGAAATGCTGTGTAGGAAATATCCGTTATGTAAAAAAGCTGTGTCCTAGATTGATGAAGGGCATAAAAATCTTCAGCAAAGAATGTTAAGGTAAAAACAAAACCAAGAATTATAAATGATAGTTGTCACGGTCTAAATGCTCATGGTTAAAATTAATTTACAGCTGCTTGTTTTATCCCAACAAAATAATGTTGCTCTGGTTAGTAATTGAACCTCAGTGGGAGACCAGCACTGTGGAGCAATAGGAAGGTATGTTCAGAGAACAGGTTGAGAAGCTTGTTTTTCAGTACTCCCGGTCCTTACAGTTTTCAACCACTGGTTTCCCTGTATGAGAGTTATTATTTGAGGTACAAATCCGTGCACCTCTTCCGTGTGGCGATAAATAAAATCAATCTATCAATAAAACTTGATTGCCGTAGTTGTGCAGCAGTCAGAAGCATTCTTTTTACTGATGGCTGTTCCTCAAAAGGAGCTCCAAAGTTAATAGGAGTCATTGTGGTTTTCTTTTGCTTACAGTTAACTCACACTCTTCAAGTAGTTGTAAAGAGACTTGCTTAGAAACCTCAAAAGTGCTAAGTGTTTTCTAGTTCTTGTGGTAAATAACTATTTTTCTCTGTATTGAGACAGTAAAGCTACATTAACTCATTGAGGGAAGATTGAGTAGTCAGGTGGTAATTGGTACCCTTGTAATAGAACAAGGTTTCCATCCATCTGTTTTCTAACTTCCAACACGGGGTCTCAGGGAAGCCACAGCCTATCCCGACAAGAGCAACAGGTGCCAGGCAGGATACACCCTGGACAGGATGCCAGTCCACCACAGGACAGACAGAGACAAACACACTCACTCACACCAGGGCCAGTGTTTCCAGAAGCCAGTTAACGTACCAGTATGTCCTTGGTCTATGGGAGGAAACTGTAGGAAATCCACGTGAACACAGGGTGAGCATACAAACTCCACACAGACAGCAGCCCAAGAATCGAACCCAGGGGCCCCAGTGCTGCAATACAGCAGTGCCAACTATCGTGCCACCATGTCACAAACTAATAAGGTTTTACTTTCTAAAATGTAATAGATACTTCTACACACAAAGGAAGGTGTATCAAAGATTTGTTACAGGTTTTGTTTAGCTTAAAAAAGTGAGAAGTGATGTGCTTCAGTACACAGCTTGCTGATATGCGCCTTTACAGTGAAATTGAAAGCTGTGTATATGTTGTTCTCATAACTGACAAAACATAGCAAGTGCCTAGCTAACCTTTTTAAAAGGGTTTACTCAATTGTGTGAAAAAATACATGCTTTTCTATTGTTTGTTGGCATATCCTGTAAGTGTTTAAATTGGTTCTGTTGTAGGAGTTTGATTGTAAACTTTGGAGCTGATTTTTGTTTTGTGCCAGCTGTGAGCTCAGGAGGAAATGCAGGGTATAATCTTCTCTAATTAATCTGCCTGCAGAACAAACAAGTCTGTTGATGTTAATATTGGATAGAGATAACGTTGTCTGCACAGCTGTATCGTGAAATCACACAGCTCTCGTCTTGGAGTGCTGAAAGTGTTTGGAGATTCACAAGTAATGGAGCGGAGGAAAAAGATTTCACCTCCTCTCCTGCGGTTCCCAGGCTAGCCGAGATGTGCAGTCTGCCCAGCGTGCCCAGGGTTACTGAAGCTCTGCTCTGGGAGTTTTCCCTATCTACTGTACCTTCCCTCTTCTTGAGCCAGAGGGGAAGTGACGTTAAAGAGGCCCTGCCCCATCCTCATCTTGTCATGGCAAGTAAGCCCAGCTCCCCTGCAGAGAGACCTGACCTGTGCTCATTCTACCAGCACTCCTGTTCTTGTAGTCATTGCCCCGAGTTCACGATCTCAGGCGAGGACAGGCAATGTTGATCAGCCTGTAAACCAAGAGTGTTGTCCGAGGACTCAGACCTTGCCTTACCTCCAGATGCTGGCACAGTGCTCGCAGCACCGTTGAAGCCCTACCTGTAAACTCCTAGTTTTCTCTTTTAGCCTAGATCGTCATATCATTGAGTATGAAGTAGTCTTCTTCGCCGAGTTTTTCAGACAGTTGTCAGATTTTGAAATCCCTCCAGTAATCCTGTTTTAAGACTGAAGACATTCAATGCCTTTAATTTAGCTGTGCATGACATTCCTTTGAGACCATCAACAGTTCAAGTGCTTTTTTGAACTCTTTTTAGGGCTGCAATGTCAAATTTTTTTATGTTTGTTGAAATTCACACATTGCCTTGGTGGGTCAAGGAAGATATACTGATGCCTTGGGCTTCATTGGATGATAAACATTGTAACCAATTATATTGTTTTGTGTGGCACTTCACCACAAGGGGGAGGTGGAAACCTGCTTTTTTCATTTAAATTGCAATTCCTGTTGTTAAAAGAACAATACAAGTAGTTCAGTTTAATGTACAGTTGCCGAGAAAGCAAGACCTGTTTAAAATGATCATATTTAAGAAGTAAATCAGTTCACAGTAAAATAAAACAAAGTGCTGTTCTATAATTTCACTGCAATCCTTCATCGAAATATTCCCTCTGCCTTTCATAAAACATATGCACTTTTTGTCATTCTGAGCAGTTTTTATAGTTTTACTGTATACCTCGTCCAGTATTCACTCTAATATTTTTACACACTGAGCAAGGTAGAATCTCTCACGATCAGAAATGTTAGTGCTGTGATAAACTTGAGAATAAACGTGTTCAACCCGGGCATGTCCTCTTAACATACCTAACTGGAAAGTTTTATTCACTTGTGACCTACTTTTGTTTTATCTGCAGTGGCAGATGTTAGCAACAAGCTGTTTAAATTCAGTTAATGCAGTACTGTTTGCCTGGACTGACATGACAACATCAAGAAAAACTGTGTACAGAAGTGCCTGCTGTTCTCAGTTGTACAGTATATGCACTTCAACTTGGTTTCCACTTCTTTTATTTTCCCCACTGATTTCTGAAGAAGTCCTTAGTGTTAGCTTTGCAAGTGCCTTTGAGGATTTTTAAGGCTTGAAACTAAGCTCCTCAGTCTTGGTTGTTCAAGATTGAGCTGTCTTAGCTTGTCAGCATAGGACAGTGGGCACAGGTTTTGAAAATGAGGTCTTACTAATGTATTTTACATTTTGAACCCAACATCCATCGATTTCATTTTTTTGTTTGCTTTTAACTAATCTAACATTTTCCATTGTTTCTTCTTTTCCTACTTTTGTTTCTAGACGATATACAGTCAGTGTACACAGCTGTCTTTTTTGTATGTATTGTAGCACCTTTAAAATTTAGTCTCTCCTTTGTAGCTGGAGCTTGTTTTTAGCAATATCTGACGATTTTTCTCTTTTTTTTTTCTAAGCCACCTGAATGAGTTCATTAACCATTGCAGAATATGAATTTATTATTGTTTTATTATTTTTTTTATTAACAAGAATAACAATAATTCCCTTCATTTGTATTGTGCTTTTCTGGACACTCCACACAAAGTGGTTTAGAGGTAAAAGGGACTCCCCTCCAGCACCACTAATGTGCAGCCCCCACCTGAATGATGCAAAAGAGTGATGAAGCCAGTTCATAGATGCTGATTATTAGGAGGCCATGATTTGTAAAGGCCAGGGAGAACTTCGGCCAGGATGCTATGGTAACACCCCTACAAAAGTGAGGAGGAGTGCTGATTCTAATTACTCCACAAATCAATTCTGTCCTTTGAGTGAGACATTAAAACAAGGTCCCAGTTTGTAAGAATCTGTCCTTCCTTTATCATTTTGCAGCAGTTAATCAGTTCTCCACATGAACTGGTCTGTAATGAGGCTCCTAATTACTGCTGTGCATTGCCCATGTGGTAATGCACCCTTCGTTACAGTAGGTCCCTTACTACAGTCGTAAAGTATGTGAACCCTTCAAGGTGGTCATTATTTTAGATATTATACGGATATTATATGAACCTGAACTCTTAATAAATATATAGAATGAATATCCTAAATAAAGACTTCCCACACATAAAAAGGGATTTGAACTCATAGATTATTAAATTGTAATATTTAGCAAATCACCAGATATTCTTGAGTGCAAAAGAAAATGAACTCATTTCAGTCAATAACTTGTGGCACCTCCTTTAGCAGCAATAACTTCACAGTTGGCTCCTGTAACCAATTATCAGGCTCTGACATCTTGCTGGAGGGATTTTTCCCAGTCCTCTTTACAACAGTGTGCCAACCTTTTCAGGGCCTGCCACAGCATTTCAATAGGATTCAGGTCAGGGCTTTGGCTTGGCCATTCCAGGACACGGAACCTCTTCTTCCTAAGCCATTCTTTAGTGGACTTACTTGAAAGTTTGGGATCGTTGTCTTGTTGAAACATCCACTTTGTGCCCAGCTTGAGTTTTCGAACTGATGGCCTGACATTCTTCTTAAGAATGACTTGATATTTCTCAGAATTCATGATTCCCTCTGCGATGTCTAGTTGCCCAGGGCCAGAGTAAGAAAAACAGCCCCATACAAGGACACTCCCACCACCATGCTTGACAGTAGGGATAAAGTTTTGTTTGTGGTAGGCTGTGTTGGCTCTTTGCCAAACATGAGCCCTCTTGTTGTGCCCAAATAGTTCAATTTTGGATTCATCTGTCCAGAGAACAGACTTCCAGAACTCTTCAGGCTTTTCCGGGCTTTTTTCTTTTTTGACAGCAGAGGCTTCTTCCTGACAACACTTCTGTAGATGGCACTTCTGTTCAGGGTTCTTCTTATTGTTGATCTATGCATCACTACTCCAGAGGCAGCTAGGGAGGCTTGTAGATCTCTGGATGTTATTTTAGAATTACCTTTTACCTCTTTTATTAGTCTCCTTGTGACCCTGGGTAAAATTGTAGGAGGACTTCCATTTCTTGTCAGGGTTGCCGTTGTTTTAAATGTCCTCCACTTGTGTACTATTTGGACTTATGGAGTCCGAATCTTTTTGAAATGGCTTTATAACCTTGTCCAGACTGATGAGAATCCACTACTTTTTTCCTCAGTTCTTTTGATGTTTCCTTAGCTCGAGGCATGAGGCTAGACTTGTAGGAGGAGTAACTGACCTGCTTTCTTGCAATTGTTTAAGTTTGCTCCTCCACATTATTTTCGATCTTTAGTTCCATTGGTTATCTCGGTTAACTGGTTAGCACTCATTGACCCACCTGCTTTACCTTGATGTAAGTCATAGAACTACTTAGTACTAGAACTGGGTGTTAAACCATCTAAGCATGAATTTTGATAGTTTACTGTGAACTACCCCCAAAAACCTTTTCTGATCTGTATTGCTTTACAGAATGAGCAGATTTGTGCTTGATTTGTATACTGTTTACTCAGTAATGCAGATTGGAGGGTATATATAGGCAAATACAAGCTGTTTACTAGATATTGTAAGATGTCATAATTAGACACACACTTCCAGTTGGTGCATATATCATATTGTTTCAACATATTCAGTTTATACATGTGAGTGTAGATGTCTACAGGCGCTCTACCTTCAGATTTACTCTTGTGAAACAGTAAGAATGCACAAGTTTGTAGAAATGTAAGTGCAGATGACTAAATTCCAACCCAGGGTGTTATCTCTCTCATATTCATGACTGTGAGATGGTTAAGGAAATTATACAAAACCATTTTCACGGAAACTTACCATTTCATTTTTATGATCATTTGTTAATAAATAAAGTGTGCAATGTAGTTGTTAGTGCAATTATTGTACATTTATTGTTTTTGCATTTGTTAGGGATATTTCTTTCCTTCAGTGTCTTGTGCAGTCATTTTTTTTTTAATGGAGCTCACACATGAAATCCTCTGAGGGTGATGTGCTTACCATAATTTTCAGAATGATTCTTAGTGGTTTGGTGAAAAAATCCACAAAGAGGTTTAAAAATAGGGCTGAAACGTGACGCTTTCTTTTTATCCCGCCTCCACCAAAGGATGAAACCATAGTGAACCCATCACTTCGTAGTGTTGCATAGCAACTGTGTCCCGAGAATAGGCATTCATGTATAAGGCAAGGGAACTTCTCAAAGGAGAAGAAATTGTACCCGTCTGTTTATGCTCGTGGCTGTTTTTAGCCTGCACGTGAGAGCTTTTCAGCAAGTCGGTAATCAGATCAACTTGTTCTAAGTACGGCTGTCTTTTTCCTTGCCTCGTCATTATTTCATACTTAAAGTAAAAGCAGGTTACTACTTCTGATGTTACTGATGTACTTACAGAATACTGGTTTGCTTGATCAGTTAGAAGATTAATCGCAGAGCGCCTTGTGAATGGCTTTCCTTTAAAAAGATGAAAAAAACTTTCACATTTTGTTACCAAATAATGGCTTGAGGTATTCAAACAAGAAATCTATTCAGCATTATGTGTAGGGGGAACAAAATATTGACTTTATCTCTTTGACATCAAAATTAAATGTCGATTTTTGAATTGTGAAACACTAATTTTTATATTGTAAAACATGTGTTTTACTTGTGAGTGTGTAGATTAATATTCCCTCATGACTACACCATTTCCCTTTAACAAAAAACATTGATATTTTTCTGTCAAACCCGTTTAAATAAAACTCAGTCTTAACTTGCTTAATCTACAGGAAGCTCAAGAAATGGTGTTGCTGAAGTTTATCCGCCCTGAACAGCCCCCTCCACTCTCGAGACCATCTATGGAACAGCTCTCTCACCTAATAAAAACAAGCCTTCATTATCCTGAGTCCTATGATCATCCATTTCTACAGAAAAGGTAAATGTTCTTGGATTTTAATGTTGAAATATTTTTCTCTAAATATCCTGAGGCCCTAAGTATATAAAGAGTGCAATTCATATATTTTTTTAAATATTAACGGTTGTTTTAAAATTTACAGGGAAAATGTAAGACATGCTTTAAGTAAACAATTTCAGTACCTGTTAGACCATGCGATTGCTGGCATTTCATCTCTTTAATCTGGGCTATCATCTCTCTTAGTGAACCAATGACCAGAGTTCTATTAATTTTAGACATTGTTAGCTTGGCAGTAAAACAAAAAACTGTTTCCGTCTTTAGAAACAGGGGATTTAGAAAGGTCATGAATGTGAATTAGGGTTCTCCGGACTTAGTTTTATAAGGTAATATTTTGTCGTGATTTGATCATGATTAGAGTGGGTAGCTGTGTCGGTATGAAGACGTGCTACGTGTTTATTTCCACTTTGTTTAAAAAAAGATAACCTGTGAAGCTTTTCATATATATGGGAGAAGGAATAAAGAGCAGGAATATGTGGCAAGGGTAGGTAAGAAGTACATGTGAAGAGACAAGCGTGGATAGGTGGGATGAGGGTCAAAGAGATTGAAATCTGGAAATGAGTGAAAAGATTCAGAAAGTTCATTGTTTAGAAATGAGAGAATGAGAAATGCATGAACCTGGGTTAAAGATGATTTTGGCAAACTCCTTAAATTACATGTCATTTAATCCCTGTGAAAGGATAGATACCAGAAGGGGCTGTATAATCATGCTTGGGAGTGGTAAAATGTGAAACTACCACCTTAGAGAAATCTTTGATCCTCACTGATGTGACATATGTCCTGAACTGCTCGACCAGACTCCTCCTGGTTTCACCAATGTAACTTGCAGGACTCCTTTTTCAAGAAGGTAAATCGGTAAAATAGCTGGACAGGAGTGATGCCCTCTGGATGATCCTGAAATAGCTGGAGTGGCCAGGAATGCTTCTGATGCTGAATGAGTATTTCTGTGTGAAATCACAGCTTCTGGTGCAACGGAAGGTGCCCGACTTGGACGATGATTGTGGATGTTTTAAGGGACATGTGGACAAGAAGACCGCGGTGATTAGTAAATTGGTCAGGTGTTGGGAAATGTTCAGTGGGTTTTGGAAAAAAGCTTCCCTTGGAAAGGTCGTTTTATAAAGTGCAAGTTGGAATCTGCATCAGCATGTGTAAACTGCGAAGAAACATGTGAAGGTTTATTCCACGCTGAAAAGAAAAGGTAAAAAGGGCTCCACAGCCGAAACATTTAGTCTCTTTTTTTTTTTCAGCATGGAATAAATCTTTACTTGTTCTTTTGACAAAGTGGCAAATTTGTGTTTGCTGCCCTAGAGAACAGAAGGGTGGAAGGGAAGGAGAGGTGGTATGCAGTTCTGGGTAAAGGAATTCCTCTTTGGGATGATGCCCTGAGGGCTGCTTTTGGCTCAGGCGACAGCCCTGTCAAGGCAGGTGGAAGGAATGTCCTTTTAGCAGCACTGATAAAATCACAAAGCACCCAGGAACAAAGAAAAGCCATGTTTTTTATTATCTGCACCGGTTCTCACCCCACCTGCCTTAAAAGGGCTGACTTACTGATGTAGTGAAAAAGAACATATGCTTATGCACACTCTCCAGCTAATAGTGAAGCCATTTGTTTTCATAAGGGGAGCTATTATCCCGCTTAGTGTTTGCAGCACCAATAATACAGTGTTGTACAAAGAAAAAATATCTTAGTGAGATAGATGAAGCTCTGAGAAGGGGACATCTTTTACCCCAAGCCTTTTTTATCATTTTGATAGAATGCAGTAGGCATTCCAGCTGTTTTGAACCTTAGGAAATTAGTAACATTTCTCAAAAAATGGAAAATTCAGATTGCTACCCCTTGGCTGCCTACTGGTGCTTCGAAGGACATAAAATCAGTAATGCTGTGAGGCAGCCGATGCGTAATTTGTGTCTTGAAGGTATAAAGAACGTAGTTTATTGAATGGCAGTACAAAATAATATGATTTGCTTAAAATATTAGATTTTGGGGGCTTTGTTGGTGTATAACCTATGAAAATCAATGTAAAAAGTTAAGACATTATACATATACACAGCATACAACATGTTCTAAGGAACAAATACTTCAAAAGGTACTAGTTCTAATGAGTGCAATAGAGCTATGATGTGATCTCAGTAAAGGTCTGGTTTTGATATTAGCTTTTAAATAAAAACAGACATTCTTAGACGATGCTACTGCTTGCTTAAGCATTTCACATGTACAGCTGCCAGAAAGCCGTTTTTTTCTACATGTTTGTTGCTGATTATCTACTGAGCAGCTTTTTTTTCTCAAGCGTGTTAAAACTCTTTCATTCCTTACTAGTTTTAGATGTGTAACTGACTGAACTTCGGATGTAATGGTTGCAACATGATACATTTGTTTGTATCATGTGGGTGAAGGTTGTACAGTTATTGATTATTAGAATGTTAGTTTGGAAAGTGAAAATGCTTGTTTTTTTATTGCGTTCTTGAAAAGTACATGTAATTTCCAATACCTACCTGCTGTATAGGAACTGGCCAAAGAGAAGACTTGAAAAGTCCCTGTGTTGAGAAATGTCATTTTAAAGAACTCGTGTATGGCTGATTGATATAAAATGTGACAGTATTCATAGTTTTGTGCAGTTGTTTTTAAAGATGTTGAAAGATTATTAAATCCATGACAAGGATATAATTTGTTTCTTAGAATCTGAATATTGGATGACAGCATATGTATTGGATGATGTGCAGTTTGGGTCATTCAGAATTCAGTTTCCAAAAGCTTTCAGAGTAGATTAGGGAAAAACATCATTTGTACACATTTCACATTAAAGCGCACACGTTCAACTTTTTTAATGGGGCAGTTTTAATTAGTTTTATTATTACTGCTTTGAGATCTCGTTTCTTTTAGTCTTATTGTGAGTCACTTAAATCGCTCTACATTTTCTTCTGTAACGTTTTAGCTTATTGTTCGAAGCGATTTAAATTTTTATGGAGTTTTGAAGGTGCCTTTGGTTTAAAAGGTGCAGTGAAAAATCAGGATTTGCGACAAAACCAATCTGAGTTTTCTGCATTAACCTCCTAAGTGAAGCAAGAAACCAACTGCAATTTCAATGATTTGCTAAGGCATTGATTCACCAGTGACTGTATCTTGTTCAGTAACAAGAGACTCAATTCCCTCTCTTGTCACTCATTCTTTATCTCAACCTCAAGGCAACTGGCTATTTTATTTTCAAACTGAAATTCTTAAGATCTGCGTTTAATCATATTTGCAGGAAAACCACCTATTTGCATTTGTTTAGTCCTGAAGGGATCGAGTCACATTGAAGTTCACCTTTTTCCTACCACATTAGAAAATATTATGTAAAAGAAGGGGTTGCTAAATCAGAACTTAGTTTTTTCCTTAGGACTGAAGAAAAACGACTGCGCTATCGCTTTAAACTATAGTGTTGACCTATCTTTCTTGTTCTTTCGGGGAACCACAGCTCTTTTTGTACTGCTCCTCCTTCAGTTTCATGAATAAAAGCTCATATTGTTTAATCTCATTCACTTAACATTCTCTCACACTTCATTTGGTTTTTACAAGATCTTTTTTTTTTTGGGCAGCAACATGGTCTGTACACAAACTATTTGGGCACCTTACTTTAAGAATAATATGACAAGACTGCATTATTTAAATACTTTGTTTTATAAAGATTGGTTCTTGCTAAAAGTGTTTTTTTAAAAGAACTTTACTGGAAAATCTCTGTCATTTTTTAGCACCTTATGTAAAATATTTAATTTTTGTACCATAGGTTCATTTTTATTCAAAGGGGTCACACTGCTAACGGGTTTTATGAGGAAAATGCAGTTTAATTTTAGTTTGAAAACTACAAATGATGGTAGCCTCACCTAATTTATTGTTGCAGTCTCATTTCTTTTCCAATTTATTTTTATGACAACAAGAAAGACACTGTGATTTAACAGGCTTTGCCTGACTTCACAACTAGGACCACCTAATGCTTTCTCTGTTTAAAAAGAGAAGAGGTGACCTTAATATGTTTGTATAGTTCTGTAAGCTGTTAATAGATTGCTGCCTGGATCATGTGCCAGACTGTTAAGCAATGGTTTGCTTTTTTCTTCTCTTCAGTTCTGTCACTCTTGTTTATTGTATAACTTCAAGCTATATTGTATAAAGCTTGAATGTATACAAAAATTTAATTCCGCAAACTTAAGATGGTAAAATGTAAAATTCTAACTGTTGTGTGATGCTTGTTAAAAGATTAAGTTGCACCTAATTCTGATTTGGATATTTTGAATCCTATTACTGATTTACTGTAAATGTGTTTTTGATGTATTATGACATTATAATTCAGTAAAAAAACCTAACTGAATATTTTACAAGCTTTTGCAGTCTATAATTTTTCCTGTATTTTTTACAGCTTTGAGGGAAGTCTTAAGATAATTTCTGAAATTCCAGAGAAAGTATTAGAAAGATTTGTAACTTAACTGTCTGGTATGTTTGAGCTGAGAATAAGACAAAGGTTGGAAAAAAATAAGTGAAATTATACAACTAAAATAATCACTCTTAATCAGACATTTTCGTTTCTCTGTTGGCTTTTCTCTTCTATTGGCAAACTTTTGGTAGTCTTGCCAAAAGTTTCTGTCTGTATCAGGAAACTGCATATAAACTGTCTGTCCATTGATACCCAAACATAGTAGATATCAGCCTCATTTCCCCTTACTTTACTTACACTGTTAAAGTGGAAAGTGATTTGCTTTTAGCTTTCAAAACTAACTGCAGTTTCCCAGTCTTTGTTCTGTTACTTTTTAACATTACTTAAAATGTTAACCACAGAAAAAAATGTCTTTTGCATATTGACATTTTTTAAATTAAGTGCTTTTATTATAGTAGCTATTTTAGTAGCTTAAAGGCAGTTATTGTTAGATGCATACTCTATTAACTTATAGGTACTTTGAAGTTGAGGCTCCATACAAATAGGTGTCTAATTTCA